TTTTCAGTTGTTGCTCAGTAATGTTTACTCTGACCAAGGACTTTCTCAGTCTCATGCTCTGCCAGGGAGGAGGGGAAGCCGGGAGGAAGCAGAGACAGGACACCTGACCCAAACTGGACAAAAGGATACTCCATACCACAGCACGTCATGCCCAGTATAGAAACTGGGGGGAGTTAACCCAGAAGGCCCAGATCACTGCTTGGGGCAGACTGGGTATCGGTCGGCGGGTTCTGAGCGATTGTATCCTCTCCCCTTGTTATTTCCCTTATTATTACTGGTGGTAGCAGTAGTGGTTTGTATTATACCTTAGTTACTGGAGAGCTGTTATCTCAACCCATGGGAGTTAACATTCCTCCGATTCTCCTCCCCATCCCTCTAGGAGTGGGGGGAGGAAGAAGAGGGGGAGTGAGCGAGTGGCTGCGTGGTTCCGAGTTACCAGCTGGGCTTAAACCATGACAGGCTGTCAAGAATGTTCTTTTTTAGAGGAAGCTTGCTGTCTTTTGAGGAACTTGAGGCTCAGTTGCGCACAAGGTAACTACTGAATGGTTAATAAAGGTAGTGTTCATGTCTGAGAAATATAACACAACCTCCAGCTATGTGATGCAATTCCAGTAACCTGAAATGGAATGCTTCAGGTATTCTGAGAAAGAAGTATTTCCTGCCTTTTCGGTCACTAGACAGTAAATTAACAAGCAGTGATTTTCAGCTATCACTCATTGCTTGATTTGGGATCAGTCTCTTAGTGTAGCAGAGGTCAAACTTACTTCTGAAGCTAGTCAGTGTGGAAGGGACTGCAGTTCCTGGTGGTGGTTTCCAGAGTTCTTTATAAACATGTTAACATAATGACATGTAAATTTTGAATGCTGGTTGTGACAAAGGTGTAGGTAGGACACTGGCATTCACAGTGGAAATGAGCACATACTGAATGACCCAGTAACTTGAAATTGTTAGTAGATCAGTGGAAGGAAATCTGTCAGAAATTGTGCCAGTGAAAACAAGTATGATTTCACTCACGTCATTGGAGGGTGCATACGTGTTGTTCAAATACACACTAGAGGGAAGCAGTTTTGTTTTTTTCTGGATGCTTCTCACTTAAGATGCACCGAAGCATTTTAATGTGTCATGACTGAAACACTGGGGACTGACCCCAGTGCTTCGTAATGGGATCTAGAGCCTTTCACCTATAGGTCACGGGTTCAGGTCTGCCTCAAGTTAAGGATGACTAAAACTTGTTACCACCTGACAGCTGTTCATTGCTCTTGGGGGAGGGAGACACGGTGGTCCTTACATAGTTCTTAGCAATCCAGCATCCACACTGACAATTACAGCTCTCTTCCGGCCCGTCAAAAGGGCAAAGAATTTAGTACCTCGACCAGCTTCCATTTAAGCCAGTGGGGAAGTTTAGGAGGAGCAGCAGTGTGTTTCATGGTCTGGGGTGCTGACTTGCTCAAGGCAGAACTCGTGTTCTAGCGAAATACTAAGAAGGAAGCATTAGCAAAATTGTATAGATGGCATAGTATCTCATTTCTAGTCTGGTAGGCAGACTAGATTTCACATCTAGTAGGCAGACACCCGGAATCTGAGGACACTGCTGGAAGGATAGAATCAGAGAGTCAACTAGGTTAGAAAAGACCTTTAAGATCATCAGGCCTGCTGAATTGTGTTACCACTGGCCATGAGACAACATATTGATCTCTTACTTAGATCAGCATTTTGGCTTGTGGAAATTTGTGCCACCAACTCAGCCATCTAGGCACTTAATCATAGGGAATCAAATAATACAGGACTCAAATGCCATCAAGTGGCTTTTGACATGTTGAAAAAGGAGAGTGACATGGATTTTGTCACCCGGATATTAAAGTAAAATAGTTCTGTCTGTCTTTGATATGGATTAAAATGGAAAGTAATGGTACTGTATTCCATACATACAATTTGAATCAGTAGCATTTTAAGTGTAAAATGTTGTTTTCACCAAATACATGAAAACTCTCCATAAAGGAAAATCACAAAATACCAGAATTTTGTTCACTGGTTATGTTTTCCATTACGTCATTTTGTCCTGTAGTGTGGAAATCCCATAACTATAATGTGTGTTGTTTTGTTGGGTTTTTTTCATGCAAGTACAAGGAATGACTTTCTGCAGAGTGTGTGTGTTGAGCATAGTATTGTGTATCTTCAGCACAGTGAGGCTAGAGGCATCAGGTACATTTCAGTGGTTTCTAGCCTAGTTTTTTGCACCAGCTATGAATAGTCTGAAAAAAAAAAAAACAAAAAGGCAACAAGGGGCTTGATTTTTAAAAAGTGCGTATTCAGCTGATTGTGCGGATTGTGAAGGCTTAAGATCTCTGGGTATGGCAGCCTCCAGTGATCTTTGCAAACTTTTAATTAAAAGAAATGAAAATACAACTGGTAGAAACTATTTTTTTTCCCATTCCCTTTTGCTCTTTATTGCTTCTCAGATGTTGAAAGGCCACTGATGTATCCACTTGTTTATGGTCTGTCCGTGTGTTTTCACATAATCTGACTTTGGCAGTCAGAATTTTCCTCTGCAATCTACATTTATAAGTTCTTAGTACCTGGGTGTTATGTTGTATAAAGTATCTGCATTTGCTTGTACTCTATTTGGCTGAAGGAAGGTATGAAATAGATCCATCAAGGAAATAATTAAATGGTATAATGCTTTAAGAAGAATGTGGAGCGGATCTGCTGCTGGGTTCTGGAACGTGCGCCTGCCTTCTTGGGTGGTTTTGCTATTCCTGTTTTGAATGCTAAAAGGGGAAAAAAACACCTTCTGTTCCGATGACTGACTTACGTGATGCAATTTTGATTAGCTAAATCTGCCTTGTTCAGTGAAGCTAATGTGGTTTGACAGCACCTTGATTAGGAAGCAATCATTTCTGTTGATAGTAAACAGTTAGTCACTTTCAGCAGAGATAGGAATGAAGCCGCCCTTTGTCTTGCATGAAGTATGATTTGTTGGTTCAAGTCCTGGTTAAATTCAAAAGGAAACTGTGGATAGAATGGGAAGAATATAGTATCAGAAGTTTATGGTAGACTCCACAGCCCTCATAAAATTGGGGCTTTATTGTCTTGACTGGCATTGAGACACAAAAGAGGGAGAGAGACATTTTGTCTTTGGAAGCATTTGCAGTGTAAAGGACTGCAAAAGAAAGCACTAGTTCAAAGAAATACAGATTAGGAGAACTCTGCTCCCTTATCCCCAGCCTATATTCCTGTAAGATGAAGCAAAATTTATTAGTATTTCATAGACCACTGGTTGGTGGAGAAAGACAGCATGAACATAAACCCTGTGAGTGAAAGTACTTTCAGGGTTTAATTCTTCATAAAAATTAACAATAGCTTTTTGTTACAATGCATATGCAGTCTCAGTGATTGTCTGTTCTCCCACTGTACTAAGAGGGCTGTTAGGAAGTTATAAAGGGACTCTAGGTAGGGAAGTTGTACTTTGATTTTTATCTTTTTTTTTTCTTACTGTGAGCTGGTCACTGTTTGCTTGTGTGAAGGAGGTAATGCACATGTGACAGGCTGGAAAAATGGAGTGTGTTGTGGAAACACTTATTTGTTCAAAGAATTCTTGAACAAGATATTAAGCAATGGTTCATGCCAGAATGACTGTATGGTTTAATTGTTGAAGGTCATTCTGACAGCTTTATCCATGCAGGGGCCTAGCTTCTTGCCCGGTGGTCCATTTAGCCCCAGGGGGCTACAGGTGGGTTGAGGGCCCAAGTGATTGTGAAAGTATGTCCCTGTTCAGGCTTGGGAATGTCATCTCCCACACTGCCAACTGGTAACAGATCAGTCTTCTGCTATACAGCCTAGAGGAGATAGATGTACCTGCCTAATTTCTGTTAACACTGTCGCAGAACTAAACCTTGGCAGTAATTCAGATCACTAATGCCAAGCATGCTAGGACTGAAAAAAATGTAACAAATTAGACCAGGTCTGTAGCTTGGACTTAGCAGAGCAATAAAGGTAATAAATCATAAGGGATGGAAACAACATGTTAGTGGTATTCTTGTTGTCCTCATCTGGATGCGGTCTTGATTCAGCTTATTAATTGACCCTGCCCCCCACATCCTTTTGCTAGAGACACTACAGGGGAGGTTGAATAAAGTATATGAACTATAGATGAATGCTTTTTTGTAAGAGGGACGATAATTTTCAATTCTTACCTGATATTTTCTGTCAAGGCAAACTGAATATGGCTCCCTCTAGAGCCTGTCAACTCCGGAGTCTCCCTCTGCCTTTTTATTTTTTCTTCTTCCCCCAAGCCCCCCACCATGTATTAATATGGGGCACACCATTCATGAGGGTTGAAAAACACATGTAGCTCATGAATGAATACCTGCATCACAGCATGTTGTGCAGGTAGTGGACCACTGGGGTAAACTAGTGTCTGCTATGCTCACAACTCCATCTCTTTATGTGAAATTGGTATTTTTTTTCTTTCTTCTTTTTATTTTTTTTATTTAAGGCTGAAAGAAGTACTCCTGCACACTTACTGTTTTGCTCCTCCCTTTTTGTAACTGAAGAGAATCATTCTCTTTCTGCCTTTGCCAAACTATTTAGGAGAAGAGTGTAAATTAAAACCATTTATCTTGAAATGTGCCATTGGAGCAGACTGTTTATACAAGTGTAAGAAATTGTATGTAGTATTTGGTCTGGTCTGCAAGGAAAAGGTTTTTCTTTTTGCTTTCTTTTTTTAATTTTTACATATGGTATATTGGTTATAATGTAGACAAAACAGTTCGAGGCTCCAGTTTATGTGTCGATGTTTTAGTGCAGTAGAGGCAATGGTATTTTAATGAGGAACATGGGAGTTTTTGCAGTGTTACTCAAGTAATAGTTTTAGAGGTAAACTGTGATCAGTTTGAGACCAAATAGCCCATGAACATGGTCAAGTTTTTCTGACAGGAGAGTGCTCATCAAGTGAATCCAGTATTTTGCAGTCACTGGCTAATAACAAAGCTGTTGATATTTATCCATCAGTTGGTGGACGAGTGAGTCGGGAGTTAAATTACACACGGCAGAAGATTGGAGAAGAGGCCATGTTTAACCCTCAGCTTATGATCCAGACTCCACAGGAAGATGGTGCTAACGTACTAACAACAGAAGCACTCCGACAGCACCTTGACTCTGCACTTCAGGCCAGCAGAGTACATGTCTATATGTACAACAGGTAAGGGAAAAAGCAAAAGTTTTCTTACCATGTCTAACAGCTAAAAAGTGGGTGCATGCTTCCCTCCATCTATTTTTGAACAGCACTTCAGAGTCTTTTACTTTGGACTGTGTTTTGATTTGAGTATCACTGGTTTCTGATACTTGACTTTGTGCCATCATAGTAGTGACAAGTTGGATTTCAACAAATAAGAAGGAGTAAGTAGTGTTGGAAGAGACTGTGAGAATGTACCCCCATGAGCAGTGCTGCAGTATCCAGCATTGGTCTTGGTAAAGGAGTAGCATCTGTGGTCTTAAACATAGGACCTTCTGGATAGGATTCCTAACATTGGAAACTCTTTCATACTAGAATTGAATTCAGTTGCTGACACCATCATGAGGCACATAACGGTTGTGATCAGCAGCACAGGATACTATCCATCTTGGATATAAAGGGAAATGCAGATGTGTGAGAAATGGCTGTGGGTGGAATAATAGCTGTTTAATAACATAGACAGTAGAGTTGGCCTTCAGAGTGTCTGTGTGTGCAGCTGAAGGTTGGAAGCTGTGTGTGGTCCAACAAAAAATAATAAAGGTGCACCTTAGCAAGGTACCCGCTTTAGGCTAGTGAGATGTCTCCCTGAAAAGTGGTTCCTCCGGGGTTACTGATTACATGATGATCTGCCTAGGGGTGCTGCCTGTGAGGTATGAAGCCCCTGTCTTTCAGCCCATCTTTTCAGCACATCCAGCTGATGCCTCAGTGAACTAATGCAGAAGCTCCAATTATGTTTAACACGGCTCCTGCCTTCTCTAAGGTGTCAGAAGTCATGGCAGTGGAAGTTGACACATAGCTGAAAAAGGAGGGCAGAAATCCTAGTGGTTTCATTTCTTCTGTGTGTGTCTGTCAGCTGGGAATAGTCTAGTCTTCTGAGCTGGAGCTGGCTTCTCTCTCTCTTCTGTCACTGAGTAGCATCTTAAGTCACAAACGGTCTCATTTATATGAAGATAGATTTTTGTCCCTTTAACGTCTGTTGACTAGGCTGAACATCCAAAAGCAGCTCCATTATTTTTAATGAGTTTTACAGAAAGTGTGAGAGTAACTGAAGCAAGTGTCTTGTCTGTAACTACTAAAAGAAAGGTCTTTCCTTTTTTTTTTTTTTTTGGTGAGGCATTTTCATCTGTGCTGAATAATATTTGCCTTAGTGCTTTACTGCTTGAGGACAATATGTGTATATGAGTTACAATTTGAAATGTCTGTTACATTTTAAAGAGAACTTTTCAGTAATAGTGTAAGAAAATGTCCTGCACTAGGTACTAAGAAGGAGAAAAATGACAGTTACAGTTGAACCCAGGACAGAAAAAACCCCGTTCTTTGTATTTCTTACAGACAGTGGAAATTGGAACATTTATGTTACAAATCAGGAGAACTCATCACAGAAGCAGGTTACATGGACCAGGTATGTGCAGTCAGCATTTAGTTACAAGATTTGTCTATTCTCATGATTCAGCTTGTGTTGCTTTGATTATATTCTAGTATAACTGTGGTTTTCCCCTTTTTGATTTTGACAGATCATAGAATATCTTTATCCTTGCTTAATTATCACCCCTTTGGACTGCTTCTGGGAGGGAGCAAAGCTACAGTCAGGAACTGCCTACCTTTTGTAAGCATGGTTTTTTATGACTTTCTGGTCTGACTGATTTTAATTGTATAACTGTATGATTTTTCAGTTGCATTCCCATTGTTTACTCAGATACTGGTTTAGCAGAAAAGTAAAAGACAAAGTGTAGTGTCTCTATAGAAAATATGCATGGATTTTTTTTTCTTTTTTTTTTCCCACTGAACAAAGATTTTCCTGTTTCTAAGAGATAATTTGTAGGCATTGATTTAAATCCTACCTTATTTTTCCCTTTCTGCTAGCATGCAAAAAAATTTTTCTAAATTCAAGCTTTAAGAATTGTGTGGGTTTTGTTTTTTGGTTTTTTTTGGTTGGTTTGGTTTTTTTTTTCTTCCCTGATATAAATTTGTTTCTGGTGTTTGCTTTGGTTTGGTTTGATTTTGTGTATGTACCACCCCTCTCTCCCTTCACCTTCCCCGCCCCCCCAAAAAAAATTGATTGGCTGGGAATTCCTAAGAAAATGTCTTGGGTTAAATCTCAAGTCTTCCTGAGGACTAAAGAACAAATCCTTTGCTTATAAGATCATTAAAGAAACCATATAGTATCTTTTATGGGTGGTTTCTCACAGTTTACAAGTGTGATATTATATGCCCTGAATCCTTTAAAGAGTTAATTGTTAATCTGTGCAGGCATTTTCTGTTAATTATGCAAGAGTTAGCATTTGAGTTATTGTTTCTGTCCTGGTTTGCATGTCTCTGTAAAAGCAATTTGCAATGGCCATCTCCTAACCTTTAGTGTACAGTTTTAGATGGGGAAATAAGGGGGTTTGTGTTTTCTGGTTGGGAGATTCAGAATAATGACTTAAGCCTGGTTAAGCAGATACAGTGTGGTTTGAACCACAGAATAAGGCAGCCAAAAGCCTTTCTAGTCTGTCAACATCACAAATTCAGAAGTGGGGGGTGGGAGACCTGACAGCAATAGTGGTGACAGCCATGGTAGCAGGAGAGCTTGATGGTTGATAGTCAAGCTGCCAGGGCATTTGAAGGAGCGCAGCATTGTTACAGATAAACAAAGATCAGTTATATTGATTGATTACATTTGCAAGATGATTATTAGACTAGCAAGAAGTAATCTGATACTATGAGAAAGGTTTTCTTTCCTCAGCCCCCACTCTTTTTTCCTTTCTCTCCTCCCCCCCTAATTCTTTGAAGCAGCAGTTGGCTGCTTTTTTGTTATTTAGGTGCTTGATGATTTGTTTTGCTTTGCTTGTAAATGGGAAGTATTTTTGACCTGTGGATATTCCACAGTTCTTTTTAAGAACTGAGTATTTTTGTTAAAATTGCAACTGGTCTGCAAGAAAAGTACATAAACAAATCTAATTAAAGCATGCCTGACATTTTATGAAACAACATTATAAGAAAAAGGTTTTAATTTGTAACAGAAAATAACTCAATTATTTGTGCAAATATGAATTTTAAAAGTATGTTTGTTTTGGTACTTCTTTTGTCTTTTCTGTGTGTGTCATTTTTTCCTGGTTTCTCTTGCAGAGGGAAGCCTCCTTTGCAGTGGATCAACTTTGACCCCTTAGAATTCTTGGAAGAGTTAAAGAAAATAAACTACCAAGTGGAGAGCTGGGAAGAAATGCTGAATAAAGCAGAGGTTGGTCATGGTTATATGGATCGACCCTGCCTGAATCCTGCTGATCCCGATTGCCCAATTACAGCTCCCAATAAAAATTCCACCAAAGTAAGTTTCCTTGTCCTTCTGTGTATCTTTTCAAGGGTGGCCAGGGTTGGGAGGGAGAGAGAGGAGAGAAGAAGGTACCATTTTCTTCCAAGCAATATATAGTTTGTATTCTTGAGTGATAAATTCTTTCTGTTCCTGTTACATGCTCTTAGCCCACAGTCACGAACTTTTCTTCATTCCGTGATGCAGTGCTCGATCCCATGTATTTGGAGTGAGAGTACACTTATCAGCTACTGGCTGGGAATGGCAATGCAGTGGTGTGGCACTTGAGCAAACCTGATGCCTTAGATAGACATAGCCACTTCTGGAATATGGCTGATAATATACTCACGCAGCGCAGCAAAGCCTTCTTTAAAAATAGCACCAGTTTTGTTAAATTTTGTGGAGAATTTAAAGTCACAGACACCAGTTTTATGTATCCGTTTATCAATCACTTCAGACTGTGGAGAAATTAGTCTGATCATCAAGTACCCACCTGATCTGTTCAGTTTGATTTGTTGAAAACATTTCTCATTGTAGACCTCCTAGATGGTCTTTGTAATAGTGTTGCTCTGGTACGCTGGGTGTTGAATTAGGGTATGAGTTGTTCTAAAGATATGAAACTGATTCATTTTTTCTTTACAATTTTTTCTAGCCTCTTGATGTAGCTCCTGTTTTGAGTGGTGGATGCTATGGACTGTCAAGAAAATACATGCATTGGCAGGAGGAGTTGATTATAGGTGGTACGGTTAAGAACAGTTCTGGTAAACTTGTCAGGTAAATGTTTAAAGAAAATGTCAAGAGTTTTTCTTTGTTAGAGTTTGGGTTTTGAGGTATGGGGGAGGATCATGCAAAATCTACTGCCCTTCATGAATCCTAGTTTAGGAGGACATACCTCACAAGAAAGAACTTGAAGGAGTGATTAGGTAGTTTAAATTTAAGGAATAGTCATTGCTTCCTGCTTCTAAACTCAGAATGATAGTGTACATTGCTCAGGAAGAAGGCTTTTTCTTGGCAGTTTTGTTTATAGAATGCATGTTGAACAGTGTTTAAAGCACTGAACACTTTTGAGCATGTTTTAAAATACAATCAAAGGAAAAGGAGGAGAAAAATAATTTGGGTAATGTGCCATTCATTTGACTTCTCAGAATTCCAAAACCTCCACTGAACTTTTTGTTCAGGATCAATATAGAGAAAAGTCTATTTCTGTGTCCCTTCATCTTGAACAAGTTTTGAGCTGGCATTTAAAACAAAGCCCTTTGTTTCAGACTTCTTGAAGAAGTCGTGGAACATTGGGTTTCAGTGGGGGCAAAAACCTGTGAAATAGAACTGTTCTGAAAAATGTAGGCCATACTAAACTAAATGAAGTGTGACCAGCAGGTCAAAAGAGGTGATCGTGTCCCTCCCCTCTGCTCTCGTGAGACCTCACTTAGAGTACTGAGTGCAGTTCTGGTGCCCAGCATAAGAAGGACATGGAGCTGTTGGAGCAAGTCCAGAGGAGGGCCATGAGGATGATCAGGGGACTGAAGCACCTCCCATATAAAGATAGGCTGAGAAAGTTGGGGCCTGGAGAAGAGAAGGCTGCGTGGAGACCTCATAGCAGCCTTCCAGTATCTGAAGGGGCCCTACAAGGGTGCCAGAGAGGGACTATTCACCAGGGACTGTAGTTGTAGGACAAGAGGTAGTGGGTTCAGACTAAAGCAGGAGAGATTTAGGTTGGATATAAGGAAGTAGTTCTTTAATGTGAGGGTGGTGAGGCACTGGAAGAGGCCAAGGAAGTTGAGAATGCTCCATCCCTGGCAGTGTTCAAGGCCAGGTTGGACAGAGCCTTGGGCGACATGGTCTAGTGTAAGGTGTCCCTACCCATGGCAGGGGGGTTGGAACTAAATGATCTTAAGGTCCTTTCCAACCCTAACTATTCTTTGATTCTGTAATTCTTCCATATTTAATATAGAGAACTTTTACTAGAACTTTTAATGTGAATGTTGACCTTTTTTTACATTCACACTAAACATTGGTAAGTTTTTCAACAAGTAGCCAAAGCATGTATTTTTAATGAAAGTATTTTTAATGAAAAATAAAATAGTTCCTTAAGCTTCTGAAACTACTGGGTACAGTTGCACACTGTGGAAATTCAGGATGGATAGTGGTTGCCATTGTGTACTCTTTGCAGATTGTCAAGCATTTGGTTGTCAGGTTGTCCTTGCAGGTTGGTTGTCAGGAATTTAATCTGGCATTTGTCTCCAAGGGTTGAAAAAGACCAAGGTCTTCAAATGCCAAATTGCCAACGGCATTTACAAGATCTTGTAGAAATAAGTGTTCCTGCGGCATCCTGACAGTAATCTGTCTATCAATCAATCATGATCTTTATAACTGATTTGTAGGGTTACATTCTTTGCTCCTGAAACTGATCCTATTGCAAATAATGGCAAAACTCTCATTAACTTCAGTGAAAACAGATTTAGCCTCAGTACTTGCATAGACCAGTACAGCTGCACCAGATTCACAGTAGAATAATTATGCTCTGTTCAATTTTAATACAAACATGTGCCCTATAAAACAAGAACTCATGCAAGCTCCTGTGAGGGTCTTATTTGGGAATTGATGTCATGAAAATAATTTCCTGAAAATGCTTGTTTTATGCCTCTTTCTCCTCTCCCTTCTCTCCATGTCACAGTGCCCAGGCTTTGCAAACCATGTTTCAGTTAATGACTCCTAAGCAAATGTATGAGCACTTCAAGGGGTATGAATATGTTTCACATATCAACTGGAATGAGGATAAGGCAGCAGCAATTCTGGAAGCCTGGCAGAGGATGTATGTTGAGGTAAAGTTGAAAATAACCTAGATATCATACTATGAAGTCCTGCTAAGATCCACTGGCTTCTGTCACAGCTTTTCTTCAAGGAAGATGCTTAAATCAGAACCGAGTCATTGCCTCAGTTTTTAAGCTGTTTCCCCACCTCCAATGAAGGAGCTACTTATTATTCACATATAAGAAGCCATGAAAGTTTTGCTCTTTGCTGTCTGGGAGACTTCTGCTTTGCTGGGGCTGAAAAGGAACCGAAGAGTTAGCTGGCATTAAAATCTTTTGGTTGGGGTGGTTATTCTAAAAGTATCTGGAAAACATTAGCCAGCCACAGCAGCAGCCCTGGTGGGGAGGCTGTGTGACAGTGCCTGATCTCTGTGTCCCAAGCTCTGACCTCTGCTGCGCTGCTTCTGACCTCTGTGAATGGCCAGGCAGGGAGGGGGAAAGAGGAGTACTCCAAAGAGATTGCTGGGCTTGGGCTAGAGGCAAAACTCGTGCTGCAGCAAATGCATGGTGGAGTTACGGAAGGAGCGTTCAAGTCAATTGTTTGGAATGGACTGGGAAAGCAATAGCCTTTCCTGAAAGATGCAAATTCATGTCTCATAATCAATAGCTTGCAAACACATTTGTATAGCATCAGCATAATCTCTGTGTAGGGTGAAGGCTTTCGCAGGGACATTGAGGCTGAAGTAGTTGATTTCAGATGCTGTAGAAGATGGTAATAAATTTTTTCTTTAGTCACATCAAATTTTATTTTTCTTTTCCTAGGTTGTTCATCAAAGTGTTGCACAAAACTCTACTCAGAAGGTGCTCTCCTTTACTACGACCACCCTGGATGACATCCTAAAGTCATTTTCTGACGTCAGTGTTATCAGAGTAGCTAGTGGCTACCTACTAATGGTAATAAAATAAATGTATTTAATTTCCTCTGCTAGTAGAGCAGGGATTAAATAGTCGATTTTATTGTTACCAGTCAACAGTCCAGAACATTTTAGATATATATAAAATACCAACTATGGTTTGTAAACTTGTCTCACGTGTTCCTCCGTGTGACATCTGTGATGTGTCTGTTCTACTTGAAAATGTTTGTAAGGGTATGTATTTTGGTTGATAAGAGATAGCTGTTAGAGAAGGATCCATTCTAACATTTTGCTTTTTTCCCCTCAACTTCTTCCCCCTCCCCTTGCTTTAGCTTGCCTACGCCTGTTTAACAATGCTGCGGTGGGACTGTGCCAAGTCTCAGGGTGCCGTGGGGCTGGCAGGAGTCTTGTTGGTTGCACTCTCAGTGGCTGCAGGATTGGGCCTGTGCTCATTGATTGGAATTTCCTTTAATGCTGCCACAACTCAGGTATTTAGGAGACACAAGTCTGCTGTTAAATTACAAGTACTCTGTTGATAAATGAGCACAACTGAATCTTTAAGAGGTAAAAAAGCTGCAAAAGTATTTTGGCACTAGAGTTGTGCCTTTCTCCCATCTAATAGCTTATACCGTAAGAAATTACGTGGTCATGCTGTTAAATGATACTAAAAAGGCAGGTATTATGCAGTTTGTGTAATTACTAGGTTCCAGGTTATTTGATTTTTCTGTTCCCAGTATGAGTGGAGGCATCCAGTTGTACATAGTAAGCTGTAGGTTTCATCTTTACGTCTGAATATATGAGGATGTTTAAATTCTGCAGATATTTTTACTATAACTTGAATTATTATCAGATATTCCTTGTCTACCCCAAAACGGAATTATTTTTGGCATACCTGTAAATGGTATACTGCAAGTTCCTCAGCAGTATTCCAGAATAAAAGTTAATAGCTGTATCACATCCTTTGATTTTCATGTTACCCTTGGATTTGTGTATAGTGTAATGTAAGTTGCTTTAATTAGCCATTTAATGGCTAGCTGCATGGCAGATCATAAAACAGCTTTGTTGTTTTTTGTTTGTTTTGTTTTTCCCTCAAGGTTTTGCCTTTTCTTGCTCTTGGAGTTGGTGTAGATGATGTTTTCCTTCTGGCACATGCATTTAGTGAAACAGGGCAGAATAAGAGAATTCCATTTGAGGTAATGACAAATGGGGATTTGGGGGAAGATAAAACAAAAGATGTTATGTAGGAAAATATAATTGTATCCAGAATTAATAAGTAGTGATTAAAAAATACCTATCTTTTTTCTCAAAAGCTTTTTCTAGGGTCTGGAAATTCTTATTTCTGTCAAAATAGGAAATAATGGCAATACATGCGATCATAGAATGTTTTGGAATGTTCAAATAATTTTTTTTAATAGTGTCTTAGATTTATTTTGTCTTGAAATTTAAAATATATAATTGTCATATAAAGACTAATTTTCATAATCCAAATTCTGCCCAAAATTTCAATGAAAGTAAGTGTAAAGTTAGGAACAAACTCAAATATAAGTCTGACAAATGATAGAATGCTTTCAAGGGAAGAACACAAAAATCTTAAGGCGGAAAGATGGAGGAGGACAGCTTAGAAAACAAATATTTATCTTTTTTTTTGTATCAACTGCTGGCTCTACTTATTTGTTATGGCCTTAAATTCTAGTTATTTTCTATATTTTTTGGGGGTTTCTGTTCTGGTGTTTCTAACTAACCACCACATTTCAAAGTGTAACATATTAATATTACGAAATCTATGGTGTCATCACTTTTATGATTCTTTCCTTTTATTGACCTTTTTACACTCAAAAGTTTCATATCCAAACAAACTACAAACCATTTAAAAGCAGCGTATATTTGTTGATTCTGTTCCGTACAAGCAGTGTCTTCCATGTGCTCTTTCCAGCTAGTTTGGCGTGCAGGCACTACAACCTCACTCTACTACAACCTCCATATGCTTCAAAATAGCCTGGTGGGTTGGGAAAGGTCATGTGTTTATCTTGATTTCCCTGTGGTTTTTGTGTGTGGTCCCTGGGTTTGGGTTGGGTGGGTTTTTTTTTGTTTTCTTACATAGTTCTTCAAGATGCATAGGTATGTTATGCCTCCATGCTTATTTTGTCTGAAAAATGGGAACACCAAGTGGGACTAGTGGAAAATGCATCCTACTTAATTACAGATGTATTTGATATAATGTCAGTTCGATAAAATGGATTTGATATAATGCCAGTGATATAATGGGTTTATATCAGATATAAACCCATTTAATTTTGTATTCTGAATCAGCTTTGATAATATTTTCTACCCTCAAACAGCATGAGCACTTCATGTGCCATCTGCTTTTCTCCTGAACATTATACTTAGTGTACTGTTTATTCTCACTACTCTCAAATGCATACTTGTATTCAGAATTTCACTGTAGCAATTTTTCACTGTTACCATGTTATATGTGTAGGATGACCCCTTCATTTGCAGGACATCACCTTATTCACCTGGCTTTTAAGATACATCATTTGTTTTACAGGACAGAACAGGTGAATGTTTGAAGCGAACAGGAGCAAGTGTAGCCCTTACATCTATCAGCAATGTTACTGCTTTCTTTATGGCTGCCTTAATCCCTATTCCTGCTTTACGAGCATTTTCACTCCAAGTAAGTTTATACGCTCTTTTGTTGGCTCTTATGCATGGTACCATCATGGAAAGCCAAAGATGATACCTGTTAACGGTGGTGTTGAAGGTTGTGTTCAGGGCTACTGCAGTTCACTGAACCAGTGTGTGTGATCACTGTTTACCATAGATCTGGGTGATAACAGCTGCTGTCTGCCTTTGTTTCTGCTCCTCCCATTTCTTGTGCCTGCAGTCTCTTGCATCCTATTGGCAGGTGAAAGAATACTCTGCCCCATTATTGGGTTGAGTGCAAAAACCAAGATGTATGTAACTAAGAAGAAACAATTCTCCAGAAAGATTTGCATTACTGTGCATTGTAACATTCCTCAGTATGAATTTGATCTTTCATTCATGTTTGTCGCATTTGCTGCTCTTAAAACCTATAACCAAAGTACAGTGACAGCAGCAAATATGCATTTGCCATGTTAATTGTAACTGCAGCAGTTTGTACTGCCTTACTTCCAATGTAATTTTAACAAACTTGGAGAAAACTTGAAGAATTTTACGTTCCAACTGCTTTGAGAGAAAATGTGAATTTTATGTGCTGAACCATGTATTGCTTGCCCTACCTTTCTCTTTTTGTCTTCTTGTATTCATTTGTGACAGTATACCTTCAGGAATATGAAATATTAAGGATGTTGGAGAAAGCTTTCTTCTGCAAGCAAGGGCTCTTCGAAGGAAGATTTGGGAGTTCCTCCCTGACACAAGCAATTTATAGCGCTGTCTGACCCTGGTGCAGAGCAGGCAAACTTACTTTTTCGGTAGTGATTTTTCCTCTGCTGTAGCCTGGTTCTCCATCATTTTTCATTCTTCTTGAGCCCTTGGCTACCCAGAGGAAGCAAGGGCTGCAATTTTTCTTGATACGTGTGGCAGTTGTTGTTTTCAAAGATTTATGTACACGTGCATTAAGCTGTAAAATGGTAAACTGTTTGAGATTGCAGTTATGTTACCAATAAGCATTAATAATTTGTTTACCACTTTCTCTCAGTAGGCAGTTTCATAGTGGATAATAAAAGAAAGTAAAAGCCTGATTGATTTTATGCATTTTTTAGCAGATACCTGTGACAGCTAAGACTAGATTCTTAGTCCTGAATGGTTAGCAATATTTAGCTCTGCTCATTTGCCAAAAACCTAGATGTCCATTCTTGCGGGACACATGACAGTGAATTGTTTATTATATGGCAAAGAACAGTGCCAATGTGTGAAATATTTTTGAAGTCTAAGACTTTTTCTGTTGGAAGAAGTTACTCATGTCTTCTTAATCTGTGGCACAAACACATTCAAGATGTAATTTAAGCAGCCAACAGGCTACTAGAGATCTTCAGTATGAATCAATTGTTCAGCCTAAATGCATTTTATAAGAAGTATCCAATAGTGATGGGCCTTTTTGTCCTAATTGCATTGCTAACCTGTTGAGTGGGAGCCACCAAAACCTATTCTTCCTTATCTGATGAAATTTTGCTCAGCCTTTCTCTGTTCTTGCTCTTCACATGACATGTTCATCATGTTCATCAGAACATGACAAGTTGCCTTTGGAACATACATGGAGACAACAGCTATAATTGTCACTGTAATCTAAGTGTATGTTAAATATATTTCTCTAAAGTCTTTCTTTCTGCCTGCTGCCAACCTGTAGTCTGAGTCAGGGAAAGTTCAGAAAATGAAGTCTGCATAGCAAAATGACAAACAAAAGGTTTCCAGTGAGATTTCAACATATTCATGTATGAGCATGTTGATATTATTCGGAATAAAACATCACGATCAAAGTCCTTTTTAAGGCAGTGATTAATATGGAATTTATGTGTAGGAATGTTTGGGTGTCCAGAAATTAATGTTTGAGTTGCTCAATCTTTTTCTCATATGCATCTGTAATTCATCTTTGCTTGCACATAGTAACCCCTTACATGTATATAAGAGGTGGAAAAATGTGCAAAAAAAAAGAAAAAGAGCAGATGGAGACCTGTAGTAAGGATTTACTAATGATACAGCAATATATATAACTGATATGTAGATAATTAACCACTAAAACAACACCCTTTGTTGTTAGAAAGGGACACCTCTTCCTTGCTTTGCCTGTCTTCACCAGGTAAAATCAAAATCAGGTGGTACATTAATCATAACATTCAGAATCAGATAACCATGGCAGATTTTGGTAGGTGGTCTGTATTTCTATATGGATTTCTTTATTTACAGTCTTCCTCCCTCTGCCTCTTACTCAGGCTTGTTTAAACAAGAAGTCCTTGCAGTCTTTGATAGCTTCCTAGCAAGACTTAGAAAGCAATGAAATAGTGCATTTACTTTTCACAGATGCTGCCTTCTTCTTAACTAGATGCTGAATTTTTAACAGATGGGCTTAAAAAAAAGGATTGCTCTTGACCTTGTTTTGCTCTTCATTCACTTTTCTTGAGACATTGCAAGATATTTGTCAAAGTTTCCATAACTTTTGAGGCCCAGTATCTGTAAAGTAACCCAGCTGCTGAGGGAGGATAAATGGTTTCCTGCATCTGCAAACCCATCTTTTAGTTAGAAACTCGCATTTTAAATATCAGTGCTTTCTTCTTTCTCAGCTTCTGTTCGTTTCTGCCAGCTAAAGCAGTTCATCGACACCTCTGAGTTGTTAATTTACTTTATGGAACTCAAACACTGCAAGTCTCATGATGTCTTAGGCGTTTCCTATGGTTAGCTCTTGCCAAGTTTTAAAAAATGGAAGTCCATTGATTGATCCTTTCTGAAAGTGAAGTTTTTAAAATTAATTCCATAAAGCAGACAGGGACTATTTTAGCTTTTTCATATTGTTTTTTTCTATTATTTGTTGATCTTACTAGCTCCTTACTTAAGCAGTTTTAGGCCTGAGTTGCTGAACACATCCCACATACTGAGTTACAAGAATCACCTGTAAGAGTGCTCAGGACTTCGAAGGAGTAGGTCTTGAGTTTTCAGATGTGTTTCATTTCTTAAAATTGTGGCAGAGGAAGAGGTTATCAGCGAAATCCACTGGAAGTTTTTGAAGTTTGTAGTAAGAATGTGTTAAACATAGCCCTTTGTTTTGAGTATAAATGAAGGAAGGCAGGGCAGAGCCAGATTATTCAGACACCATTATGGAATAAATTCTGCCAGGGAAGAGAAGGTACAGCTTCACAAAAAGTCATCTAATTCTTCTTTCTTACACCAGAAACTTCCTCCCCTAACAGCAGAGGAGTGGTGTGGATTCACTAATGAGCAGGCGTGGAACTTCTCCCAATAAGTTTTAGCAGTAACTCTTTC